AGAAGCTGAACCAAAACCTGGTCCATTTTGAGTTGAAGCCAGGAGTTCGAATCCTTGTCCATGCTGCCCATTTATCAGCAGGTTAGTATCCTCTTTCTGTGTATACTCTCTCTGTTGCTCTGTAGCACAGCAAGCAATATATTGATGGTAGTAATGTGCTATCACCTGTATTTTAAACATTTCTTATTTTTATGTCCCAGTAACAATGCAGTGTATGGGCAGACATTAAAATGCCTGCTCTACCTCCCCTTTCTATATCATGCCAAAAAGATATAGTGGCTTTCATATTTACAGCTAATCCTTTTGTTTTCTTATGTGTAAGAATTTACTGGTTTTGTTGGAAATGCAGTATAAGTAGTTGTAGAAATGTGAATTTCTTGGCTACCTCTGAAATATTCAACAGCTAAGCAGCAGCATGGTGTTTTCAGCTTGGAACACACAGTGCAAAGATTACCAACTAGCCTTGGATATGTTCAGATATTCTAGAGTCAACAAACATTCAAAACAACTAAACACAGTTCAGAAGTTGTTCAGCAGTCGAAAAGACTAGAATCAATATACTTATGCACAAACATAAGATTAGGCTGTTTGGACTTTAACTAATCCCATTGCAAAATAAGTCATCTCCCAAGTCCTGATATTTGGTCACATATGTTTCTGTCTATTCTGCATGCTAAACCTCATTTCACAGCTCAGGTCCTAATTAACTGTTACCAGGGATGGGACGAACCAATCTGTGCTCAGAATTCTTAGGAATTCATTTTTCCCTGGAGCTACTGATAATTCTGATCAGTTGGTATCAGCTTTTTTTGCTAGATTGCAAACTAGAAGCCTCAGTTCATTTGTATCAACAAACTGCTCTCCAGAAAACTTTCTGTGCTATGAACAGGTCTGCCCAACCTGGTGTCAGTCCCTGTACTGCCTTGTCTGTAAAGTAAGGAAAAAGAGACTGTTAGGAAAGGGTGTAATGTGACTGCATTTAAATCCTCCCAAAAAGAAACTTTGGTGTTTGCAATATTTCACTTTTACTAAGCACAACTTTCTAATATCTGTCCTGGGAATACTGCAGTATGTTTCTTCTTTTCATTAGCTGTGGAACAGATGACCAGATGCTTAGTTTTAGGCATGTTAGAACCAAAAGCATAAAAACGCAGAGATGCAGCACAGCTGAGTAGTCTCTAAAGAAAAAAAAAACAAAACACTGATCCGAAATAGCTTGCAACAACACATCATCAGTATTGCAACAACTGCATCACTATTGCAACAACACATCATCAGTAGGGTAAAACTAACCTGTCTCACGACAGTCAGTTTGCTTGATTTTTTTTCTCCTGTAAAATAAAATGTAAATGACATGACACAGAAGGATTGTGTGAGTTTCTACTTATAGGTTAAATTCATATATATTTTACATAATAATTGTTAGCAGAGAAGTAATCCTTGGCCTGAATTTTTAACAATGACCAGAGGTACTACACCTACTTTCAGAAGATGCTTAGTGCCCATCTCTTAAAAGAAATGTATCTGAAAGCTTCAAACATGGAGTTACCTGCAATTGCTCATAATTTTAAAAATCTGTTTCTGGGCATTTACTCTGTCAGTGCACATGGCTGTTCTATTTTCATCAATATTTATTAAGGTCAAGGTCAAATCCCAAATGAACATTTAGACATGACTGCTCTGGCCCTGAATATCCTGTAGGCCTTTTCCAAAAAATTATAGCTAGAAAGAATCACATTAGATATTCCTGGAAAGACTTGTCTTTGTCACTTGCTACTGAAGTGACATTCCTGATTTCATGTAGAGGAAACAGATGACACTTACAATCACATATCCAGCCCAGCTTTTATACAAGATTAATCTGGATCCAAGTTTTCTGCTGTGTGTTGGAGCCTCCTGCGGCTTTTTGTAAAGCAATTCTGGACATCTCTGCATGAGAGAGTGTACAAAGTTCCCAGCTGCTCCATTCATGCTCAGAGCTGGCTAAAAGCTGGGTAGCTGCAGTCGTGAAGCCAGGTAGTTAGTGGTGGTACTGGAGCACTTTTCTGGGCTAGTAAACCTTGTCTGCCACCCTGAATGACCCAAAATTCAGGGTCTATCAGTATTGCATACTGACATGCCAAATAACAGTACGGCCTCTGGGTATGTGCTGCTATGTTTCTTGCTGGTTCAGGCTGAAGCAGAGTGTGCTTGGTTTAGATACAATCTTTGTGGTCACCAAAAATGCATATTTTTATTTGTATTTACACACACGTCAGGAATGAGTACTTTCTGTCCATAATAAATGCAAATACTCATTTGTCTTGCAAGGTAAGCTTTGTTGTACTTTTCTTCAAAGCCACTGGAGAGTGATTGTGTTACTGGCCTCACAATGTCCTACAGGATTTTGTCTCTTGCAGAAATAGGATTCAGTAAGAATGCAAAATGAGCTTGGAAGGCCAAACTAGACATTAAAAAACTCAGAGAGCAGCCACTGTGAGGTCTTTGAGGGAATATGACTCCTTAACAAGCTGCAGAGGTCATGACTCTGTTCTCTAAGTAAAAGGCCCAATTTTGTGGCATCAAAACTTTGGAATAGTTTAAAATTTGACCAAAAGCCAAAAGAGAGCTTTACTCCTCTGCTGAAAGCTATTTTTTCATTGCCAGGGAATGAAAAGAATTGTCCTTTGGAAATCCAAGCTTTTATAAAAAATTATATAAAATAAAGCAGGGAAACCTGGAACACAAGTCAGCACCAGAAGCAATCCCTAGAAAACAGTCCAGGGGGATGGACATGGCCCAGAGTTGCTGCAGTGGTCTGTGGTATCCCTTCTTTCCCAGCCTTTTCACTATGCTATGGGCTGTAGTTGGTTGAACCACAAAGCTCAGCATGTGCTTTTGTAAGTGCATACATATATATATGTACACCTGTGTTTATGTTGCCATGCCTCAGTGCGCATGTATGTTCCTCCCTGTGTGTGCCTGGTCATGCACAACAGCCATTTCTTCAGTAAAGGAGCTGCAAGGAACAAGAGTGCAGGTGTCTAAAGTAGCTTGGTGTGGATATTCAAGCAGAACCTGTAGAAATGAGCCTCTGTATGTGTGTGTGTGTGTTGTGTGTCATCATGTGCATTCCATGGAGCACAGAAGAACGACAGGCGTTGGCCTCAGCAAGTTTCACACTCCTGTCTTCTTTGTTCAGGCCACAATGGAGGAAGGATTAATTTAAGTCAATTATAGACAACAGATTGCAATTCATTAATCATATTACTTCCATCTTCTCATGAAACAAAAACCAAGCCAATGTCCCCAACCCAACAGACCGCAACCTCCACTCTAAGGCAGAGTAAAATATGCCAATATTCCTCACAAAGAAGTTTAATAGCTGTTTGTTACCAGGCTCTCAGTGCAGCATTATAACAAGAACATTGAGTGATGCTGAGTCTGAATCAGTTGTAGAACCACTCTGTCATTCCATAGAACTTCAGAGACCCACAAAATACAGGCAGAGAGGGGACAGAGTGGAGATGTATGAGGAATTCATTATTTCATCCTGGTGCCTCTCCTTTCTGAGGATAGCTTGCTTGGTGTGGGATGGAGAAGTTTTTTATTTCTCTTTGTAAATTTTGGCTTTATTGGTCTGGGTGTGAAGCTGAAAATATGTGTGCATGTGATGTAAGTATTTGCTTGTGTGTCTGTGTTTCCTTGTGTCTTCTAGCTCTGGTTAGGAGGGCATGTCAAGGGGTGCAAGAGAGAGAGGATGTGTTTGACAGTAGTTCAAGTTAACTTTCATTGCCTTACAGAGGATGGCACTACCTATGCCATGTTCTGTGTGTAATGCCAGACACAGCCAGTGAGGATGTATCTGCTGCATCTGAGCTCTGTGTAATGGCACAGCTACAGATGCATGTCTACAGGATGTTGTATTAATGTCTGCATGAACAACTGACACTACTGCACCTAAGTGTGAAACCTTTTGGATGCTCAATGCCTTTCTGTTTGTGTGTGTGTTCATGTGATGGAAACTCTATTTAATACAATTCATCTCGTATTTCTGGGAAATCCATGCCTCTGGATAGTTGTGTGGCCTTATTTTACAAGAGGCTACGACAAGATGGTGAGCAGAGCTCTGAGGAGTAGTACAGGGAAACTCTTTACCTGATTAGGATTGGGTTTGGTGTGGGATTTTTTCTGTGAATCTGTGCACTGTCTTGCATGGAAGACTTGTGGGCCAGAGAGCAGGGCACCAGGAGAAAGAGAGTAAAACATGCTCAGAAGAGTAGGAAAGGGATAAAGGAAGAAAATTAAAATGTCAGACAAGAGCTTGCCATGGACATTGAGGCAGAAGGGCACTGCACTTCTGGTCGAGAAGTAACAGGACTGAGCAGAGAATAATACATTTGCTGAGAATTGTTGCTTTAGTAAAAGTGAGGAGCCACTTGCTCATTATTCACTATGTGTTGAGAGCTACCCAGACTAGCTCTACACAAAATAGAAAGTCAGTGACGAGTTAGCTCATGTGTAGCTCCAGAATCATCCAGAAAATGCCAGTTTGGGTACCCAAATGACTCATTTGCAATGACCTTAGGCAATTGCAGTATGAGAGAGTATGTTTCAGGCACTCTTCTAACACGACAGAGATGAGGGACCTCTATGGATAAAGCTGTGAGACTTCACATCAAGGGGTATGTTGAGCACCACAAGTGATCTGAACCCAGGTTTCTTCCCAGGTGGATTAGAAAGGGGGAGAAGCCCTGAAGACGTGCGGACAGATGTGGCCTACTACAAATGCAATTTCTGGAGGGAGCAGCTCTTCACTCCAGGCTGGGGATGGCTCTAACCTTCTCCTCCTCTCTTGCAGCTCCCCTAGTGGATCTCACTCCCAGTCACAGTGGTTCAGCTATGCTGATGCTCCTCTCTGTCGTTTTTGTGGGACTAGCCGTGTTTGTAATCTACAAGTTCAAAAGGTATGACGCTCCCTGAGCCATTTTCTTCTCCCCATCATCACCTTTCACTGAGGTGTTTGGGGTTTGTTTTGCTGGGTTTTCTTTTTTGGAGTTTGGTTTGTAAAAGCTGATACTACATCATCTGCCAGAGTACCACACAATGACGGTTTCTGTTAATGTTTTAGGAAGATTCCTGGCCTTAATATATATGCACAGATGCAGAATGAAAAAGATCAAGAGATGGTCAGTCCAGTCAGTCAGAGGGAAAGCATACCTAATGTCCCTCAAAGTGAGCTGATGAGCCCTGAGCAACTAGTAGATGAGAAGTTGGAAGTCCACCCCATAGGTAAATAACTTGCAGCATCCTGCAGCTGGTCAGAATGACTTATAATTGGCTAACCTTTTTCTCAGCCTCCCCGCTCCCATATTCCTGCACAATCCTCCTCCCATCTTCTTCTGCTGCAGCATTAGTTTTGCTACAGGAAACCTTTCTAACTCTTCCCTCTCCCTCACTGCCATGTGATGAAAAGGAGGGGAACAACTTTAGGCTTTTTCTCTCTCCTAGTTGCTCTATGTAGATCCTCTTCCCTTCTCAAAAAATCCTGCTGGCAATGTAATTTACTTTGCTGGGGCTGATATAGTTGTGGGGCTAAGCCCCACGTGCTGAAGAACTTCCTCCACCCTCACCTGGAACATGGAGGTGAGCAGGTGATTTGGTAAGTCATGTATAAAAGCTAAATATCCATTGATGTTTTGATTGCTAGGGTCTTTGTGCTGTGCCAGACCTTGCTGCCAGCACCAGTGCTAGTCTGGCTGATTCCCAGGTAAATTGAGCAAAACCTGGAAGCTCAGCATTGTACTGCTGGGTTTGCCCTCAGGGTGATTTCTCCCAAAGGCCTCTGTGGTTGAATATTTCCAAAAGCAGGCTTTCATAGGACCTAATGCAAATGGACTTGGAAAGGGAATTCTGGGATCAGTCACACATTTACTCAGGCTTATATGTCTTCTGTTACCCTCACTACATTTGAAGTGCTGGGACAGAGCAGGGAGGTTTCAGTCTGGAGACATGTTCTTCTAGAGCCAGCAGTGCTTGGGCATTGCTCAGCTTCACTCGTGAGGTGACAGTTCCACAGGCCCAGACCAGAGGACCCCAACAAATAAGGACATGGAGCCATTTTAGAGGAATTAAAGGAAAAGGCTGCCCAGAGAGGTTGTGGAGTCGTCTTCTCTGGAGATAGTCAAACCTCTTCTGGACACAATCCTGTGCAACCTGCTGTTTTAGAGGGGGGTTGGACTAGATGTTCTCCAGATGTCCCTTCCAACCCCAACCATTCTGTGATTCTGTGACTTAGATGGGAATGAAGCACAGTCATAACTGAGATCCCTTATTTGCACAGTTTCATCAGCTTAAACAAATCTTAGATCTCACATGAGGTTGTCCCTAAAATGTATGGGAGTGTTTGTTATAGTAGGCTTGAAATCATAGTTACTGTAGAGAGGAAGCAAGGGAAAGGGAATATGATGTGCTAAGACTGTGGCCTGTGAAACAACCTGGGAGGAAAAGGAAGAAAGACTCTTGATGAAACTGATATCTAAGCTAGAAGCCCCATTGCAGTCAATGCTGAACTCTCCTCACTTGTTCACTAAGGAGATCTTGTAGCTGTTAAAAGCTTTTAAGCAGCTATTATTCAGCAGACCTGGACACCCCTGCTACTCCACAGGATGGAGTAAGGGGACCAACCTTCCCATGTGATGTTCCCCATACAGAGCAACCCCAGGCCACAGTCCAGAACCCAAGGAAAGGAAATGCAACCAAGGTAGTCTGGACAGAGGACTTCCAAAAAGCTTATGGATCACCAAGAGGTTTCAAGCCAAGACCCGAAGCGGTGGGTCCTAAACTTTAACAATTCTTTTTTTAAGTTTGTTTTGTTGTTGTTGTTGTTGGTTTTCTTTTTTTCTCTTTTCTTGGTTTTTTTTTTTTCTTTTCCCCCCAGAAGCCTCCAAGGCAAAACTGATTTGAGATGCTAAGGGAGAAACACCCAATTTCAGGTCAGGAACTCTTTTTCTGGAGTTACATGGGCTTTGGGCTTTGAACTTGCCCTTTCTAGAAGAATGTAATGACAGTGGTTCATGCTGTTCCAGGAGCAGGGAAATACATGTTTTCACAGGTCACTTGGACTGAAGTGGCAAGCATCAGTCACCTGCTAGATGTGTTCAAGGTGCCTTCAAAACTGCTCTTGCTGATGTGGAAAACTAAACCCTTGAAGCCTCTAGGTTAATGAGAGAAGTCAAAAGCCAATTTTTGGGATAGGTTTTCATTTGGTGCAACTGTAGCATTTCTGTTTTTCTACAATAGCCAGAATTTTATGCGTTTCTCAGCTGACCTTTTACAACTCCTTGGCTTGCACCTGTAACTTCACTAACAAGCAAAAAAGTTAAATGTATGGGATACATGGACTCAATTATGTATCAAAAGGAATCAGTCCAACAAACATCCTAAGAGTGTTTTTTCATCCTGTCAGTAAGATGAATGAGAAAACTGAATCAGAGCTCAATTGACAAAATGAAAAGGTCTGGACCTAGGTGTGAACAGAATAAAAAGTGCAAAAGCTCTTCAGTCTCCTATACAACCACCTCATCTGTTTCTGGAAATCAGCAATTTCTTTTTTAATGAGTTTTCTTTCTTTTGGGAGAACAAAGCAAGACTGTAATTGGGTGTTTCTCTTTAGTATACTTGTCCAAAACCCATTTTTTTTCAACCCCTTTGACTAACATTCAGGGATCCTTCCTTTGAGGAATGTGAATTAATGTCTCTGCATCATTTAATTTGCTCTCCAAACTCTGCAGCAAAAAACCACATTCCTATTTTCTGGATGTGTGTGGTTTAGGCTCTTCTTTTGCAAATGCAAAATTTAAGGTTATTTGAGAAATGTCCAACACCTTGTCATTGCAAATGAGTTACAAGTTTCCTCTGAGGACCTCAACCCATCTTTCCCTCCACCCCTCTGCTCTGGCCTCTCTTGCATTCAACATTGGTGAATCATCTTCATTAGCAGAAGAACAGGACATCACCTTCAGTGTTTTGAATGATAAGAAAACATTTCTGGGAAGAATGTGTCAGTCTGGAACTGTTGAATCCCAAAGACCAGCAAGGTGATACCTTCAAACATCTTCCTTGGCTAAACACACTTACTGTTTACTGACTCTTTTATTTTGTTCTTTCTTTGCTGCAGGAAGTATTTCCACAGCTGCTGAGCCCCAAAGCACAAAAGAAATCCCTACCTATGTAAATGGTTGAATTGAGGACACCAATATCTGTATCTAAAAAAGGAGGAGAGCTCACTGCATTTGGACTTTTTAATTCTTCAGAAGACAAAGGGTTTTTAGCTTTAAGCCTGTGCATGTGGACATTATACTGAGACCATAGTGGAACTGCATTGTACAGGTGTTCAATTTTAGTGGGGGGTGGGGGGAGAGGAACTGGTACCACTATTCACTCCCGCGGCCCTTCTCCTCACCTTTTCACTCTTTTTTCTGATCTGTCTCTAATTTGTAGAACATTCATAATGATATAGGCCAAGAATATGCATGGGGGGGTCTCTTCTTTAGGGAGAGGGTGGGCTGGATGTGGGGGGAGAAGGGCTGGGGGAGGTGGGAGGGGATGTTTAGGGTTCTTGGCTTTAGATTTAACTGCTCTTTTAGCACTTTTGGGCTGCGGGAGGGCTAGCTGCCCCAGCAGACTTTCATAGGACACATAAAAAAATCACACTGGAGTTTAAAGGCACTGAAAATATTCTTGGTCAGTCTGGTTTATGTCTTTGTTTGGACTCTGCCCTTCATTCCTCTAGCTGCAGCTGCTGCCTGTGCCCCATGGCTGCAAAGAGGCTGAGTGTGAGTATTGGGTGATCCTAACTGCAAGGCCAGGCTCGTTCTTATACATCTTTCTCAGCCTACTCACACCAAGGAATCCCACTGATAGCATCATGGGAAGATAAATTTGCCTCCTAACCTTGAACAGAACAGAACAAGCATACATTGCAGTCAGCGAGGGAGGTCTGTCCATACTGCAGTTGCAGGAGCTTATTGCCAGCAAGGACTTAACACTGTACCTTGTACCAGCCTTACACCTTCAATTTTGGTGAAGAGAAAGCACTAGCAACCCCAGCAGCCCCAGCAGCCCCAACTCCTTGCAGTGCTGATGGCTGAATTTGTCTGGGGAAGTCCCAGGAAATCTCAGGCCTATCAGGTTTTTTTGAAAGACACCTTATCCACAGAATAGGGAGCAGGGAAAGGTCTGTGCACAGTTTCCTAATGCCTTCTTGTCACCCCCATTGGTTGTAGAACTGCAAACTCCTGTCACTGTGGGGAGAGGAGAGAGAATTTGACCTGAGACTGTTGCCATGCATTTTGAGCCTCAGCACTACAGGGCCACTCTTATACAAGATTTGATTTCTTTCCAATAACTTAAGCTTGTATCAGACACTGCAACTAGAAATGAGGCTGTAGGACATGTTCACATAGACTATGCAAGGGAACAGCAGGAAAGCAGGATTGACATACCATGAACAAGTCCTCAAAGGCATGGGATATCTGGCTGAAGCCTAATCCATGGTCATTACAACTGTTGATTTCCAACCCAACTCAGGTACACCTAGCACCAGGATTTTGGTTTGAAGTGTAGAGAGAGAAATACTTTAACCAATGTACATTTACTTAACTATGTTAGGTGAAGGCAAACAGAGGCCAGTTCATAATCAGTGAGGCACACTTAGGAGGCACCCTGATTCCTGATATGGGTGGGTTTTGTCAATAGACATTGCACATGGCAACTTGAGTCAAAAACAGGAGAGAGCAGTATTGTCAGTGTGGCCCAGAGTCCCAGGGTAGTGATTTGGTGGTGGTGGGTTTCAATTTCTCAGGCACAAACTGGGCACAAACCTAAATCAACCTACTTGCTGGCAAAAAAATGATACCAAGTGTAAGAACATCGGACCCATAGTAGCTAAAGGATAATCACAGTGCAGAGTCCTCTGCCTCTTTCTGTAGTTTCTCTGAAGACAGGTAGAAACACAGCAGTTTGTATGGCTTTGCTATTGTCTTTGCAACTACAGCTTTAAGAAAGATGGGAAAGTTTTGGCTGCAACTGTATAATAGTCCCCACTGAAGTCCAACATTAGCCAACTTATTTTTATAGTAAGCTGATCAAAAGGTTTTCTTATAGTGTTGGAACTATTTCTAATTTTAAAATTACTTTTTTTGATGTACTTTTTCATCTTCTTTTTCCCTTTCGTTAAATACAATGTAGCGTAATGTATAATTGCTATTGTTTATTGCTTTTACAGTCATATTTATTAAACAGATTATGTCTCTAAATGAAGGCCCACGTTTTTGTTTTAGCTCTCTGTTTCTGACTGGGATCACTAACAACATTGAAACAGTAGGAAGTCTAACTTCAAAAAGAAAAGGGTGTTCAGTAGATGTGGTTGTGGTTGTGTGTGGCTGTGGTAGTCTCCTTCTGGAAGTATAGTTCCTAGAAGCAAGATGCCAATATGAAGGTAACTTTCTCAGTCCTCAAAGTGCTTTATAAAGTGAAGCTCGGTCCTGTTATCTCCATTTTATAGATGGGGAAGCTGTGGGATGCAGAGGTGCAATGCTGTTTTTCTGGTTTCCAAACAAGCAATGGCAGAGATTTTAGCAGCTCCCTGGAACTCCAGCTCCATTCTCTCTCTGCCCATGGTTATCCTTCCCCATACACAGCTGCAATTAAATGTTCCTTCCAACTATCTTTTTTTGGCTACCCTTTTGCCAGGAAAGTCTAAATTATTGCCTTACTGGTTAATTTACATGTGAATAAAATGAAGCTTAGGAAGTTGCTGTCAGCTTGCCATATGACAGTGGCTGCAAGTTGCTGAGAAAAAAAGAACATATAGCTTCTCTGCTTTTCAAGTCAGGATGCAACAATTGGATCATTCTACCTCTTATAACTGGATCCTGGTTCAGTTCTTTGGCTTTTTTTGTACCTCAGCATAAGAATTTATATATGCACATGAGTAGTCAAAGATGTGGGATTCAGGTATCATCAACAACCAAGGCCATGGCATGGCATATTGCAAGTCTAGGAATAATGTGTTTGTTCATTGGAGGAGTGTGTAGTTTTTACATCTTGGATAAATCCCACTGTAATTACAAATACTAACCTAAAATGTTCAAGTGGACACTGCAGCCTCCTTTCATTCAGGCTGGAATGGCCATAGTGCAGGTGACTCAGAGATGTGTGTGTAGACATAATGTGCTGTAATAGTTTAAGTGCCCACCTGAATTAGCAGGCATCTGTTCTGGCCATAAACAGTAAGTCTGGTTTTGGCAAGCATCTCTAAAGCATTTTCAGATCATTCTCTTCAGCTTGTTGTGTGTTCTGAAGCAGAAACTGATTGCTGTTTGTAGTTGTTGTTTTCTGGTTTGTGTAACAACACAGCAATTCACTGCTAATAGATGAACACTGAGACAATAAACAAAGAATGTACCAAATACATATAAAATCCAATATGAATTTTCTATGAGGAAATTATCATATCTTGAGAGAACAAAAAAGTTCATCATCCTTTGTCAGAAAGAACGGAGAGTTGAAATATGGTTAAGAATTCAAATAAAGTATTTTTCCAATTTGATGTGACTCCCTATCATCATCTCAACTGCCACAAAAGAGATGTACAGATGGGACAGACATTGGCTTCGGAGAGGTTTTTACTTCTCCACCTAGCAGGGCATTTGGGCTAAGGTGCTGGATTGCCTTTCCTGGAAATCAGTAGTTGTTAGCGCTCAAATACTTTTGAGGATCTGGGCCTCAAAAAATTCCTTGCTGTTAATTTGTGACTATGTTTAATTGCTTAATTCTGCTGGAAAGCAAGACTCTTAAAGTACTTGCTGAAATGCTTATGCAAATGAAGCAGGAATTTCCAGTGACCTTAAATGCACCCTGTCTTGGTCCTATCAACTTCTGCTGAGAATTTCTGACAATTGCACTTAGGCTGGTACCTAAAACCAATAACAAGGGATTAGTATTTTATCTGTGTGCTGTCACCTCTCATTGAATGCATGAGAAGTTTCCTTGTCACATTATATCTCTAGGTACATTCAGTGTTTTAAACATTACCCTTGATTGCAGAGCCACCATGTTCATGATGTTAAAAAAGAAAACTTTATTTTCCTTCAGTTAATGAGATGCTGTCCCTGCATTTCTCCATGAAAGAGAATCATAAAGCATGTGAATAAATAATACTTGAGCTAAAACAGATCCTTTTAGTTTAGAGTGTTGGTATGATCCTGGCCATAATACCCAGAAGAAAAGACTGAAGTCAAATTGTTTTCTAATTGATAAGATCAAAGTGTTATCTTGTACCACGTCATTAGCCTAAGAGATATATTTCATCTGCAGTTTTAACTTTAGTTTTTTCTTTTCCCTTATTTCCTACTGGGGAATATGGCTATCTCTTACTCCGCTGAAAGTGAGATGTAGAGGAAATCTGTGTTATGTATTTCTCAATGTGAGGATTTCGAGATGTCTTCCTTCTTGTTTGCACTATAGTGCAGCCACCCCAGTGCTAGGTGCTGTATGCACCTCAGAAGTAAAGGTGAAAAAATGAGGGGACAAGTTTTCTTACCACCTCTGATTACAGATTGTGTCTCACATTGTAATGGCCACGTTGTTGGGCCATTTTGATGAGCAGACCTTAACTAGACATTCTCAACATGAAAAAAACTCAGCACTGGAAAACTCTGAGTGAGATGAACAGCCAAACATCTAAACAGTCGAGCTCAATATAGGATAAATGACTTGAATGCTAGGAGGTAGAGAGACACATCAGAGACCAGCAGCCATCCAGGGCAGTAGCTCCATTCCATGCTGTTCTGTCTGTGCCAAGGCTTGTTTTCTGCTGTGATAAGTTAGAGAGATTTGAAGTTTGTGCTAATTTGTGTTGTTTGCTCTAGGAATCTTATGCAATTTTGTTAGCAGAGAGAGCAGCATGCCTAGAATACACCCAGTCAAATATCTAACCTTGACTGTGTTTGCATAATGACCTCCCACCAAGCTGTAATAGCCCAGCCATGTGTAAGCAGAATAGGAGTATGACAACTATTAGATTTCTCAACTTCTCTGAGGCTGTAACACATCCAGCCACGTGGACAAAAAGATCACTAACAATAGCCAGGATATTGCTTATGTTGTGCTTCATATTCAAAATAATTGCATAGAAGGATCCCAAAAAGAATCATTATTCAAACATGTGAGGTGCTGTATCTGCCAAACTTCAGTGAAAATAAACTGAAATCTCAAACTTTTGTAGGTTTTGTAATCTTTTATGGAGAAGCCCTGAGAGACAAGGTGCAAGAGAAGTGTAGCAGAGCTCTTGAGAAGAGAGTCATGATTGCCTGCCTTTGGTACAACATAGATGCAAGAATAAACCCTCCCTTTTTGTAACAAATTCCTCCTCCAGCCTTCCCTAGACAAAACTGGGTATGTTGATGTTTGTGGGACTGCAGCTACCCTGGCAAATAATTGCTCCCCAGCCCGAAAGCG